ATTTTATCTAACACATTTTACTTATCAACGAAATATAGCGAAATTATAAACTAGTGAATAATTAATACATTATATATAATTTGCCATGTGTTTACTCATTTGGTGTCACAAAGGTTAAGTTATCACAATATTACATGCATCAAATAAATGGTTCTTTAATGCATGGCTGTATGAGTTGATTACCTACTTGCTAAGATAGACACGCATGCATGTAATAATAACAATTATTAGTAAAACCTAGATCATCCATGAGTTCAAAGGTCATACAGAGCTGTCAGCTGTAGGATGAGGTCACACACAGCTATCTGCTACTGATTATGTAATGGAAGTCAATTGTTATTTTCACTTGGATGATTTCAAATAAATTCCAACTGTATGATTGACAGTTTTAGTTTATTACTTTCAAACACCTGATACTTACCTCCCATCGAGACTTGCTATAAACTGTAGATGAGGAAATAGTCAGTGTTTAAGTTTAGTGGATTTAGATATTGCTAGGATATTCACAAGATTTAAAATTCACTGGTTTGTAACGATACATGTTGTTGTTTACTTTTCATATTTACTGGTTTTAGGCATGCATGGTTAGATATGAGTGATATGAAAATACAAGCCAACTAATATTGAAGCTTCTATACAGTAGTCAGTGTAAACTACTTGTACCACTGTCTGATTAATGACACTTGTACAGTGTATCACAGAACTTATCAGGACTTAGATTTAGCCATGGTGGCTAATACATTGTTTGTCTTACTATATGATTATGAAACATAACATTTGTATTAGGTTTTACTGATGTATTAACTTTGTTAATGACTTGTCAATTTTAGTGATGATGTGTCAATTTTAGTGATGATGTGTCGATTTTAGTGATGATGTGTCAATTTTAGTGATGATGTGTCAATTTTAGTGATGATGTGTCAGTTTAGGTGATGACATTTTAGTTTTGGTAATGACGTGTCAGTTTTGGTAATGTCAATTTTGGTGATGAAGTGTCAATTTTAGTGGTGAAGTCAATTTTAGTGGTGATGTTTCAATTTTGGTGATGAAGTGTCGATTTTGGTGATGTGTCAATTTTGGTGATGGAGTGTCAATTTTGGTGATGGTGCGTTAATAACTTATTTATGGTAATGAATGTCTGTGAATGAGATCGTTGATAGAAATTACATACAGTGCCCTTTTATAATGCAAAATGTTTTTCTCACACTAATCTGTTCATACAATGCATCTACAGGACTTAAACACACGATTCAAAGGCCAAGATTTCTGTAAATGCTTTTGACTGATTGAAATATACAGGTCAGATGACATTGTGTGCTTCATAACAGAATTGAAATGTACACTGTATTTAATTGTTGTTCAAAGCACCAAAGTTATCATATAGCTCATGTTTAAATTTCATCTAACTGAAATAATTTTAATGAATATTTTTGTCTTTTTTGGTAAAAAGTGATATTTTTGACTTCTTGGTAAAAACTGCAAGTCTGGTTGCTTTGATACTATACATATAGGTACCTCAGGTAAACCTCGCTCAGATTTGTTTTTTTCATGATGGTATCTTCAATTCTCTAATTTTAATGAATATTTTGTCATTTTTGGTAACAAGTGATATTTTCAAATTCTTGTTAAAAACTGTAAGTCCGATTGCTTTGATACTATTCATATTGTTCATTTTCTAATGATATCTTCAGTTCTTTAATTGAAATGTGCATTGCTAACAGCGGAGCTATCTCAGTTGACAGGCTGCTTGTTCAAAATTGTTACATAATTGCCGATTCCAACTTTTGGGTTATTTTACCCTGTTAGCTAATTAGTTAGTTAGTTAGTTTGAAAATATTTAATATTACTGTGAGAATTCATGTAAATGTGTTGCTTGCTGATACTGTTTTTTTTTCTCATTTGTTTTGGTGATTTATGAAGGCTCTCAGCTGGCAAAATGTTAAGCAATATATCGTAAAAAATATAAATACTATTTATCAGAATTTACAAACAATTCATGACAACCATATGTATCCATCAAATAACTACGTATGATTTTTTCACCATATGTAGCCAACCACATGTTTGATATACATGTATAACTAAATTAAAAACGTTTTCCCATAGAAATCAATGGATAAAAATTGCTTTTTTTGTGTCACATTTTTAGCTCCACTGTCGACTTTGTCGAGCGGAGCTTATCATATGAGTGATTGTCCGGCGTCGTCCGTGTCAATGTTTTACTTTTTCGACTTCTTCTTGAAAACTACAAGCCTGAATGCTTTGATACTCGGTGTATATGTACCTTAGGGAGACCTCTCTTAGGTTTGTTCATTTCATGTTGATATCTTCAATTCTCTAATTTTGGTAAATATTTTTGTAATTTTTGGTAAAAAGTGATATTTTCGACTTCTTGTTAAAAACCGCAAATGCAATTGCTTTGACATTACATATATGGGTACTACATGTGGACCTCTCTCAGATTTGTTCATTTTGTAATGATATCTTTAATTCTCTAA